CTGATCGGCTGGGGATACGATTTCTTAGTGCTAAACGTTCGGAACTGTGTGACACCCTTCATGTCACAAACGACGAGTAACCAGGTCAATAGCGGCGCGAAAGCGCTACCCGACCGCCCGTAGCGGCATACAATCAAACAGTGGCCAAATTCATAGCCAAGAAACGTTAAAGAGGGAGCGGATGAACAACGCCAGGAGAATCTTTAATTATACAAGGAAGAATGGACGCAGAATTTTGAGAAGACTCTCTGCAGTGATAAACAAACGGAGAACACAAAAAGGCTGGAAAGGAGGTGCAAGCATTACTTACCAAACCAAATGAGTTTTGAAAGTGCTCCTCTTGATCACATGATCCAATCGGTTGGTGCATGCCGGTGGAAACGATGCTTTCGGGGTCTTCGACAAATAGCAGCGCAAAGAATACAGAGTAGAGACATAAAACGAGCACAAACAACTCGTCGAACCACCACAAACGGCCTAAACATTCAGCTGAAATATGAAAAGCGAGCAGGTGTTGCCAGAAAACTCACGTCCGAACGCGTATTTGCGAACTGATCGACGGTCTATCAACCAAAAAAGCACAAGGAGGCTAAACATCAGAGTTATAGCAACGCTCCGAACGGGAACGTGCCAAAAGACAGTCAGCAGAGCAAAAACCGACTCGTATAGCACCACACCGCAGTATGGAGAAATTACTGCCGGCACGGAAACGCACACGATTTCTCTGATGAACCTAAATGATGTGCTATAAATAAGCATGGATACATATACGTTGGCTCGGGCGCGTCACTTTTTCCAGTCGTAATCGCTGGAAACCAAGAAATGCTGCAGTAAGTTGACGAGGCTGACAAAGACAAAAAGCGATATAGCGTGCGTAACAGGTAGCGCCCATGGAACGAGGAACGTGCGTTCCTGCAGGTAAGGGTGACTTTGATGGTAGGTCCACCACAAAAACTTTGAACCGATCATATTGAATGGCATCGTGAGAACCAACGAGCCGAGAGCAGCCGCCAGACCTTCAATACATGTTGGAAAATACAACCTAGAAATGAAATTCTGAATAATAATTAAAACAAACTTAATAACTTCATAAATACGTAAAGAAAACTGTACCAAATCAATTTCTGTTGCAATTAATGTCAGATTATACTAGTGAATGGCTGTAGACGTAGAATGAGAAAGTTTTACTCAATTCGAACGTTGTTCACAAGAAAAATTTCGTGACCGTTAAAAACAGCTCACAGAATCCCACTGTCGAAGATCTTGGAGATAAAAGCAGTTACCTAATACATTCTAAATCCTGGCATCAGCGACACTTGAAACTTCGCTCCTCATTTAATTCTAGGCTATGACTTCCGTAACAGGAGTAATGAAACTAAGGTAGAATGAATACGTTTTTGTTGAACATATCTCTTAGCAAACCGCTTCTCACAGGAACAGAGCTTTAGCGACGTAACATTAATATATAACATTATGTATAAACTTTCAGCCGATTACCCCAACCTTGAATAAAATCCTCCCGGAATCCCCTGGAATATAACGTTTGGATGAAGTGCCCGCATCATAAAATGGTAACAAAGATCAAGAGTTAGACTTAATTCCACGCACGCAGCATAAATTCATTTTCGTCACTATTTTAGTCGTGAACACCTGAAAAGAATTCAAAAACGGCAGGCTATAATATGCCCGTGGAACCTTATCCAATGTGACACAATGGCATCTTTCAAAATTGACTTCTAGCGCTTTCTGGAAATATTCACAGCCGAGAGCGACGCGGCCGGCATGCATGTGAAAACGTCTA